TTTGTTTGAGTAGGGTCGACTATTATTCTTGTAAATTTTTGTGACATCGGCGTTGAATACATAACGGAAAATCTCCACTGCGAAATCAATAGAACAAGATCTTGCTGAACAATTGGTCGTGGATACAAAATGTCATTAAGACTATTCTTACGTTGGGCTAGAGGCGTTGAAAACCACTCTAAGTTTTGTGTGGTTGATTTTTCTCATGTACAGTGTCTCACATAAGTATTCGAATTTGGTTGTACTTTGAAAAGAAACATAATTTAATAATATTTTTTGTGTGTGAAATGAATAATTAAATTTGTTATATTGTCTAGAGAGTCCTAAGGTATAATATCACACTCTTTAAAATTTGGAAAAATTACATTTACCTCAATTGATTTAACTTTTTTTAAAAAAAGTCCATAAAATTGCCTCACAAAAGTATTCGAATTTTTCCTGTAACTATTTCATATATGACCATATTATACGAAACACAAATATTATAATCGAGTGGTTTTTTACTTAAAATTGTGTTAGGGGTTACTATCGACCGAAATTATATATTTTTGGCCCATTTGTTCCACAATTTTGGAGCACTTGTAACATATTTTCATGTATCATTAAAATGGCGATTTTTGACCATATTTGCATTTTTTTCCTTTTTTTTTCAGAAATCAGGTATCTAAAAATAATAATTTTTGTTATAAGGATCTGTACTTAAAAGTTGCAAGATGTATTTTTGGTATCGTTCTTCTGTTTCTAATTGAATTGTATGGATCTTAAGTCTCTTTTCGTACCACTAGGGTCGATATTTTCCGACAAAGTTGGCTAGTATACATTCATGTACATATTAGCACTAATATATTTTAAATTTTCAATACATTATATCGGTATACAATACAACAAAACGTCATCCTATACAGAAGATTTCAGTTTTTACTATTCGTAACATTCACGCTTATGTTGCCCATTACAATAACACTGTAAATCCAAAATTTTGGGTTTATTTTGATCATAGTAGGATCAATATTTAAACAGATATCGAAATTTTTGAGTTAGACCATAATGATATAGTGGCATGCAGCCTGGAGGTCATTGGTATATAAAAATAATGATACTACCATATTGAATGGTGTTTCTTCGAGGCATGTTTTGGAGTTGTACACTTCCACAATACATTGAAAACTTAAAATATATAAAAGCTGATACCTAAAAGAATATATACAAGAAAACTTTCCCCGAAAATTGTTGACCCTAGTATTATGAAAATTGGCTTAAGTTCCAATATATTGAATTAGCGACAGAATAATGATATCAATAATATATCTTGGATCGTTTAAATACAGATTCTTGTAACAAAAATACTATTTTTAGATACTCCAAGGGGTCTATTAAATACCAATATCAAACTTTGGTTTTATCTCTGGAAAAAAAGGGAAAATACTACAAATATTGCCAAAAATCGCCATTTTAATGATATTACATAAAAAGAGGGTACAAATCCCCAAAAATTGTGGACCAAATGGGCCAAAAATATATCATTTCGGTTGATAGTAACCCCTTAAAACAATTTTAAGCATAAAAACCAGTCGATTCTAAAATTTGTGTTTCGTATAATATGCTCAAATATGAAATACAGGAAAAAATCGTATACTTTTGTGCGGCAATTTTATGGACTTTTTAAAAAAACTAATTTAATTTAAGTAAATGTAAATTTTTCAAGTTTTAAAAAAGCGTGATATCAAACCTAAGACCTGTCTAGACAATATAACAAATTATTTTCTTTTTGCACACAAAATTTATTATTAAATTTGGTTTCTTTTCATAGTTTACCTAAATTCTAATACTTATGAGAGACACTTTATACCAATTCTAGGTACAGTAGCTTTCGTTTATAGCATTGGTGGCCAGAAAGAGAGTTTTTAGAATGCATATGTGTAGTGTAAAATATGAAAGAGAACATAAATGAAAATATGTGTGCTTTGCACTGAAAAAAATTATATGTTTGTACTTATTTGTGTTATTCATATTATTTGTATTATAAATTAACAACAAAGGGAATGTATACATCGATGTATGTATGTGTTGACGAAACGATGTATTGATGCATATATTGATATTCTTACATCAATTAATGCATATGTTGATGTATTTATGTATGTACAGTGGACGTCCACTAGTACGAATTATATAGTGTCAGAACCTTTCGTAATACCGAATAATTCGTATTATTGAACAACACATTTTGTATTTTTAAATTCAAATAATACACATAAAATATTGGATTTTATTTATTTTTGTTTTATTTCTCATGAAAAATTACATAACGGAACAAAATATAATAAAATGTTCAGATTAATTAAAATGTTCAGATTACACAATTCTCTAATTTATAATTTTCTCTTAAAAATTAGAATAGTTATCCTTAAACCCATTGTTTGGAATGTGGAGTCACACTACTTTCAAAATTAACAGTTCATACATATATATGTATATATGTAAATATCATTTTACTTATTAAAAAATCCATCATTTAACATCGATGTTTATTACATTGTAAAATGATTCTTACGGCTTTTTCAATAACAGCGCTTTTGAGGCTCAATATTGTTCTCAGCAGAGTTATTGTCGGGAACTAATAAAATTCCTCATTGGCGTTATCATCCAATTTAATTTCTTCTCTTGGGTCATCAAATTTCCAATAAAATAAATTAATAACACTAAATAATTGTTGATTTGTAAATATACATGCAGTAAATTGTGTGTATATTATTTTTAAAAATACAAAACACTTGTAATAAATACAAAAAAACTTCAAAATTACTGAGCTTAAGGTGAATGATACCGAAATAATAAAATAAAAACATAATAAAAACTTCATTCATACGTAAATAAAACCAAAATTACCATAAAAAATGCGTTATTCGTACTATCGAACAGAAAAATTGTGACTTTATTCGTACTATAGAGTAGACAATGCAACAATTTTGCCATTCGTATTATTGGATATTCGTAATAAAGAGTATACGTACTATTGGACGTCCACTGTATGTCCGTCTATAAGTGTTCAAATAATTAACCGTTAATCGATAAAATTTTGGCGATTAATTGCTTGAATAAATGACAATACAAATATAATTGTAAACATTTATTTACAAAATAAATCTATCTATCAAAAGTATTTATACAAACATTTATTTGTGGCGGCTTTTGAAAATATTATCTGTGTATCATTTCATAAAGAGAGCAACTAAATTAAATTGTTTTTGTTTTGTGTATAGTTTGTTTTGTTGCTGAGAACATTCGTATTGCATGTGTATGAGTGAGAATAACACAATGCCCGCAGGGGCATGTTTGGCCTCCAATGGTTTATAGTCATCACTGTTACCCTGCCAACAATTTCTATCCAAATTGTAACCATAACGTTACAGCTTAATGTTTAAAACAATCTAATTTGATATAATCTGAGTGAATGAAAAGTGACCCCGTTCGGAAGAAACTGTTCCGCCTGTTTAATACTTACTTGATGTGCCCATTTCGTTTCAGTTTCAAGTCACTTTTTTATAACATAAAATTTCGTAAATGTAGTAAATTTCCAGTTTTGCCATAACAATAGAGAAGCTGGAAAGTGTTATGATTTTATACTCTTTTATGATATAAAAGCGACTTTATAATAATTTTTTTATTTCTCCTTTATTATACTGTTTTGCACTCACTAATCCCTCACTGATGCTTATTTTATATTAAACTATGTTTTAAATATATTAAATTTTAAATTAACACAATTTATTACAAAATCTAAATTTCACAATATATCACACAACTGATCACAATGAAATAAATATATTTACTGAAATGTGCAAACACTTTTCCTTCTGAATTTTGAGAGCAAGAATGATTCTACATTAAACTATCTTCTTAGTGTACTAAAAAGTGTTAGTTTTTGAAATTTATCTACTTATTATCATTTAATTTTGCTTTTGGTATATTAAAACGCACTAAAATTTAACAAAATTATGATCAAAATTAGAAAGTACTGTATTTTGTTTTTGTAAATTTTTTAACTTAGCACTGAGAAACATAAAATTGAGCCTTTATAGTGACTATTCAGTTCATGTATCCAAAATTAAACTCAAATTTGCTGGCAGGGTATAGTCACATTAGTTATATTGTCATTTTTATTAGATTTAAATGTCTCTGTCGATCAATTTTATATCGTCACACACGAAATTTTTTTCTAAAAGAATAGTTTTCAAAGTCGCAAACCACTACTACGACAAAAAATGTATCGTAAATTAAGTAGCAACGATCCAAATGAAGAAGTTTTTGTTGAAGAAGATATATTTTTGCTTAGAGCAAGATATAAATTAATTTTTTTTATTTGAAAAAATAGAAGATACAACTGTAACCAACATCCTCAAGCTAAAACAGATGAAAATTATTGATTTTTTTAAATAAAATAAACAATATTTTTTAATTTAATGAATTTATGAAAATAATATTTATTTCTTTAATAAACATGAATTTTAAATTTTTTATATTCACAAAAAATGAATATATAAGATTTGCTTTATAAGCACATTGTGGCATATGCAAAAAAAATTAGTTTATAGTTCTTTATAGTTCTTTAGCGATATAGTCCTCAATTTGTGTGCAATTAAGGGTTTTGCCTATAAGCGAAAAGTACTGTAGATATATTTTTTATTGCACAGCTTTTGTTTACAATTGCTTACAAGCTTTAATAATTTTTTTTTAATTCAAATTAATTTATTTTCACTGTCATTTAAAATAAACAATAACAAAACAAACTTTGACAGAGATCCTATACCACTGAGAAATAAAAAAATAATTAGCTGTTCGATTGCATATACCTGTTTATTGTATCATGCAAAAACTTCTGGGTGAGGAGAAAAGAAATATTTCAGTTGTAATACAATGTCACATTTACATTTCTTATTATTCTTTGTTTTCAGTGTACAACAATATTCATACATACCTACATACACATATATTTTTTATTAAAATTATAATTTAACTTAATTGCAATATTTATTTAAATTCCGGAATTATTTTAACAAAGAAAAATTTATTGCTTATGGACAGTGCTAAAAGATTAAATCACCTCTCGTCTATGGATGATGACATGCGAATGCTTATTGGAATAATCGCAGATGAGGTAAAAACATAGTATAAAAAACAGTAAATTATTTTAAATTTGTATGTATGTAGTTATACCCTTCACCTTCGTGAGAAGGATATAAATCGAAGTGTTTTACTTCAACACCTGCCATATCGTGCTTCTTTCACGGTGCTACTTTTACAAGCAAACAGTGAGTTGTTAGACGTCTTACCACCGTCCCTTTGTATGCCTTGCACCAACACGCAAGTGGCAATTTTGATATATGATTCCGCCGGTCCATGTACAAGCACCTTGCTCTAGTACTTGAGTACTTAACTACCGAGATGCAAAAACATCACTTCCGTTTACAACCACGTTTCCGTTGATTCGGCAACAGCACCTAGATAAGTAACCGGTAAACTGAAATACGAATCCATAAAATAGGACAAAAACAAGTTCTTACTCACAAGAAACACACACTTTTAAGTATGGTACGAACAACGTAATCCCTAAACAATGGTATCACTTGCATAAGATTCCACACATTCGTACACTAATCATTTATATGACACATTCATTGAGGAAAACATCTGACACTTCTTCATCCATTCCTTATCATATACACTTGACACTAACTCATTCCAAACTTATAGTCCCACAGTCACTCCTCTGCGGGGTATCTATTATCTATGTATTTCGCCAACAGCACAAAACTTTATCAGAAATATACATATATATCATCGTGTATCAATCTTTTAACTTACATTATCTTCTCGCGATTTAAACTACAGCCATCACGGGAGAAATCAGTGATTAACATAGTTGAAAATTATTAGAATCGGCTCAAAATTTCATTAGTAAAAATAAATTAATTATTATATCGGGCTACAATAATACTCGAATATGATTTCTACATACATATGCAATCGGCCCATAATTGGTCATAGCTCCCAAATAAAGCCCTTTTCTGAAAATCAATTAATTGTAAATAACTAATAATGATATCGAGATACAATTCTTTTAGAATATGTTTCATTGTCATAATTTTACCACACTTTTTCTGGATCGGACCATTCTTTTATAAATATTTATAAATCAAATTCAAAATTTATAAAATCTAAATTTTTATAAATATCAGATCTGTACATGTATCATTCCTTTTTGATTTTAATAGTTCTAATTCATTTGAATGAATTCAATTCCAACGAATTGGAAATTAATTGTAATTCATTATACAAATTCATTTGAATTGGAAACGAATTGCAATTTATTTGGCAAATTCATTTGAATTGACTCAATGCTTTTATTCGACATGTTAATAAAAAAATAGTATATAGGTGAAGGGTATATACATACATATATAGGGAAGCCGAATATTGCACTCTAACTTGCTTTTATATGTTATGTAATGCTTTAAAAAGGAAACTACAATTGGATTTCTATTGGCTGGTGTTGGAGAATCATTTGGTGTTTTAAAAAAGAATCGCAGTTTTCTAATGGTTACGGAAGGTAAAATTTTAATAAGAATTATTGTTCAATTCACATTCAAGCTGTAAGTTATAAAAGGTACTTTACATTATGTGATTTTATATTTATACAAACTGTTATTTGAAAATGTATTGAGGTCTGAAAATCTAAAACATTTTGTGGTTTAAAATTTTCTTTTTTTTCTTTTTTTTTTTTTTGAATCTGTTTTTTACAAAATACACAATTATTTTATATGTAGTTTTCTCTTGGATTTTAATTTGTAAAAAAAATTTGTTTTATTTTTTCCCATAATTTTCTACATAATCCATTTGGAATTGAAAATAAACCAAAAATAGGTTTCATAATATGTACATGAATCAAAATTGTTCAATAAATTTTGACAACAAATTTGATTTTGTATTAAACCCAATGAAACTCTGAGATTAATACAAAGTAATGTAATGTAAAACCCCCTTAAGTGATACTATATCCCCCAATTATGGTTCACAAAACACAAAGTGTTTTATTGTCTCGGCTGCAACAAAAAATATTTTTCAATTATTGTTGTGTGGACTTAATCTCATGATCAACCTTTTATTCGCTATACCATCAACTTTTTATTCGCTTTTTTGTAAGAAATATACCGTTATGAATGTTTCGTATAAAATCTTATATGCCGCAATGCTTAAATTCTGAGTTTTCGACAATTAAAAATACATACTGTAAACGATAATCGGAGAAAATTCATAGCAAAAACTAAAATGACAACACTAAAGGTAACCCAGCAAAAAATAATTGATATCATACTTTACAAACGACATCTTAATCACCTCCAAGGAGCGAAAAACAGACCCGATTGCGGCTTAGGTGTATTTCTTCAGATTTTTAGTATACATCCTCCTATCAACCTAACCTAATCACCTCCAAAAATCAAACATTTACTTACAAATGAAAACCCAGTTAATTGTGATGAAAGAGATGTAGAAAAGTCACTACACAGAGAGAAAAATTAATATACACGCCTAGTACCAAATTAACACCAAATTTTTCAATAACATCCATTGTCAAGTATAGACATACATACAACAACAACATGTAATGTAGACCACGCAACTTTGTCAACAGTGCAACAATTCGTTGTCGCAATCTAAACAAACGTGGTAAGCTCAAAATGCGTTGCCAATAGTGAGCTTACCACGTTTGTTAACATTTAGACAACGGATGTTCATAAAGTTTGGATTGCGACAACGAATTGTTGCAATGTTGACAAAGTTGCGTAGTCTACATTACGTGTTGTTGTATGTATGTATATACTTGACAATGGATGTTATTGAAAAATTTGGTTATTCGATGTTGCATAATATTAAGCAGAGATAAATAAAGGATCTGAAAAAATTCAGAATAGTGTAAAAATACTTCTTTAGGCATAAAAAAGTGTTTACAAAAGCTTTCTGATTCAAAATTAGGCTACAGAGCGTTATTTAAAGGTTGCATCTTTTAAGATACACTACGCATTCATCTATGAATTACATATTCGTTTTATTTGAATTATGTACTGTGTTATTGTTCAAGTTCATATATATGTATGTATTTTGCCCTTTGAACTTGCTGGTTGTATGTTTGGCATCTTGCTATGTTTATATGATTATCTATTTTGAGTTTTGCAATAGACAGACTTTTTTTAATTGATTTCATAATTTGGAACTAAAAGAATTTTAAAGTCATGTCAGGATTTAGAAAGGTTGATGGAGTCAATATGGCTGATGAGGAAGTTCGTGAATTGCTTTGCAATAGTGAGGGTATTACTTATGACAGTACGGACATCAGTGACTCAGATGACGATGAAAAGCTCATGTAAATAGAGACCAGAGCACCTAAAAGCTTCTAGAATGATAGTAATACAGGACGAAAATAATACGGAAAGTGATAGTGAGGATGAACTTGATATTGAAAGATCTATACATGATTCTTTCATACAAATGATGAATGATGTTAATAATCATGAATTTCCGGCAAAGGGAACTTTATGTGGATTTGAACACCTTCTACTTCTTATGCATAGACTAATACTACCTTTGGTCCCACAAATAATTGGAGCTCTTTTTCTTTCGAGTTTAGTGAGATTTTTATAAATCCAAAGAGTTTTATGGAAAAAGGGACATCTTCAATTTGATGCAAACCAACCCAGCATAAAAAGTCTGGAAAAAGATGTAGAATTTTCATTACAACTAGTAACCCGAAGTTCTTCAAATTCAGGTGAAAACTCTATGAATTTTACATTAGCGTGTCATTGGAGGGATGTTGTTCATTTTTGACAACTTTGAACTACATCTAATCTTATCGAACGATTCAACCAAGGCACTTGTAAGCAATTCTACTTTGGCGTCTATGTCCTCTTTATTTCGACATTGAAAAGTGTGCTGACATAAACGGTTCTTTAGTAAGGAACCGAACATTGTCCAATTAGTTTTAGACTTATTCCGAAACCTTATCGACTTTGGTGGCGGCCGTAGTATTTTGAATCTTATGTATCGATGGTCAGAAAAGGAGTACTCGTCCGAAACTCTCCAATCCTGAATTTCGTTTATAAGCTCTTCTGAACATATAGTTATATCTAATACTTCTTCTCTGATTCTATTGACGAAGGTAGCTATATTACCTAAGTTCGATGTGATCAAGTCTTTAGTATTAAGGAAATCCATAAGGGATTGTCCCCTGCGATTGGTGTTTGTACTGCCCCAAGCTACATGGTGGGAGTTGGCATCACAACCTATTACAATTTTCTTATTTTGCCTTTGTGCCTCTTCGACCAGTTTCATCAGCTCCGACGTTGGTGGTAGTGTCGGAGGCAGGTAAACAGATGCAAGGTATATGTTGCCACGACCTTGCTTCAGTACCGTTGCATCCGATGTTGATAATCCTGTTGAGAAGAGAAAACATAAATTCTTGTGACATAAGATAGTTGTTCTCGACCGAGACCCTGTATCAGCGTAGAAAAGTTGAAAATTTACGTGATTTAATCCTGAAACCTTGTTGCGAATCGCCCAAGGTTCCTGGATTAAAGCTATATGTATTTTATCTGTGTTAATTTTAGCCATATACATATATATATATATATATATATATATATATTACAAATAAGCAATATATGGTATGGTGATATCCCCATACTTTGAGTGGCTAGGATGGCACTTAGTGTTAGCTTTATTGAATAAGAATCAATATTATAGAATTCTAAATAAAATTCACACAGTACTCCCCAAATAAAACGGGTTTCCTTAATGTTGCTTTTGTTTATCAATACAAAATGACCAAAAACCCGCATTATTTTGTTACAATATGAAGTTTTATACCCCGCTAAACCTTTTTTCTATGTCCAAATTCATTGATTTTCTAGTTTATCATGTATCCAAATCAAAATTACTTATTATTTTCTAAATAAAATCAAAGAAACGATACATTTCATGTTAAGTGAAATATTGATAAATTCTTATAGGTATATAGGATAATAAATCGGTTAAGAAATGCCCAAATTTAATCGTACCACTACTTAAATATCTAAACAATTTTATTTTAATATACAGGAGTAATAAAAATGTAAAATTGTATAAAATTATGCAGCAATATTAAAAAAAACCTAAAAAAGCAAAATACTTTATTGATCTAAAAAATTAACAATACGTTCACATTTTATCAAAAATCTCGTTAGTTAATATCACGATTTTACTTTTTTTTTGGTAGAAAATTAAAATATAAGATATTCTGATATTCTTATATTTTATATCTATATATATATATATATATATATATATATATATATATATATATATATATATATATATATATATATATATATATATATATATATATATATATATATATATATATATATATATATACCAATGCTGGAAAAATTGCATAAATATGCTAAAATAAACCCCTATTTTTGTAGTTCAAATCTGGTTTTTTTGATTTTTTTTTTTGATTGATATTATCAAAGTGTATAATTTGCTTTGAATAATGTTTTCTTTCAGAAAATGTGATGGGTTTTAGTAAAAGTCCCATCTGAAGTTTAAAACCTCAATTGTCAAAATTAGTTATACAACTTGTTTTACAAAAGTATTTCAACTATTTTAAAAATAATAAAAAATAACGAACATTTCTTCTATCGACTTATTATACCCTACATATTTATGCTACGTTCACAATGCTGGAGTACTCTAATGTACAGTGTAAAAACCAGTAAAAAAATGTTAGCTGTTCAAAATACAGAGTGGAACTGTTCTAAATAATTTGTCAAAACATATATGCAAGTTTAATAGTAAATTAATAAATTAATAGTAAATTAATAATAAACGATAAATTGCTAAGTACGGTTAAATACTCTTCATCCCAAAAGACATGATTTATATTTAGCAGTTTCAACTTTTATCTATTTTTATATAACATTATATAACATATAACCATCACCTATTCAACTTACAGTTTTCACTTTAAACTACTATTTCCTAATTGGTTAGAATAACCCAAAAAAGAAGAATATCATCAAATCCTCGCTGTGCTAAACCTGCATATAAGCGATATACCTATCCATTTATTGCGGTGTGTCATGTACCGGCATGACCAACTAAACTTTACTTATATTTTTTACAGGCTTTTTTATTACTTACTAACACTGAATCAATTCGTTAATCCATCATTTAAATCTTCCAAATCAATAAAACTAATAATTATGTTAATAATTTTATATTTTAAAAATATTTCAATACATAACTTTTGCCATCCTAGCCACTCAAAGTATGGGGATATCACCATATACCACTATAGAACTATTACATGCTAAAATCTTGGTTTTCTACACTCTAAAAAATGCTTGTAAAATTACAAAACATGTAAATTTTTATGGAAAATTACTAAAAATGTGTAACTTAAAGCACAAAATGTTTACAAGAACTAATTACGTTTTTGATCATGAAAAATACATATAAAATATAGTATTTTGCTTATTTGTAAACATGTTTCTAATACAATAAACACTTCTA